AGGGGTAACAGGGGATCCTCTAGGATTGCCAGGGAAAAATGCATGTAAGGGTGTAAAATCCAATTAAGAAAAACCTTGCACTGTCAAAAAAACAAAAACAAAATATAACATTACGAAAAAGAGATGTTTGATAAAATAAAAACACCAAAAACAAAAAACCACCCAGCATATGGTTTACAGTGTCATACCATCATCAGCAAAGCTAATCATTTCAGGTCAAAATTAGTACCAGAATCTCATGGCCTTTATGGACTTTTTGTGTGGGCATCTGCCCCCCACCCCCAGGTCAACTCAATGACACAGGTAGGTGTCCACGCCTGCATTTCCATTTAGGTAGCTCTGAGGTGAGAGGCAGATGGGTCTCCTAATAAAATAATGCATTAAGTTTGAATTCGAGACAACCAAAGCGAAGTCTCCAATACTGTTCAGTGTGCCTGTTCGGAAAGGCAGATATCACTAATGCTGAGGAACCTAGATGAACTTCTTACAGGGCGTCGCCACATGAGATGCAGCTAAGTACCAAATTGATTGCGAGAAAGCTGCAACCAAAGAATCGAAGCATTTAACTAGGCTCATGACGCTTACAATCTAATCTTTGCATGAGATCATCTGGATTTTTTGCAGCAGAAAGATTTTATTTGGTGTAAGGAAATGACCCTGTGAGTTGCTGTGACAAAACGCACATTGGTCCCAATGAAAGCTTTTAAAACATTCTTTGGTACAAAGGGTGCCTATATGTTTTCAATAGGGGAAATGCTGAGTTTTGTGATGCTGGTAGTGACCGTATGGAAGGCTGGGTGTTTGTGAGAGTTATCTCTCATCTCCAAAGCTCTTTTTCATAATAAAAAATAATCATCATAATCAAGAAAAAAAAAACTTAAAAGAAAAAGAAACCACCAATGTGGAATCAATGCAGCTCTTGGATGGTGCTCAACCTATGAGCTCACTATTACATCATATCTGCTAGGTGGCTCCATGCTTTGGCTTTCTGCTTCGCCATGGAGAACCACACCGGTTCAACAGACTCGGCGGTATCTGCGGGCACTGCTGGGAAACTTGCAGGTCTACGGGCTTCTTTATCCACAGCGGGCATTGGAACCATCTTCTTAGCTTCGGCTGGAAGTACAGCAAACAACACACAAGCGGTAAGAAGTCCCAGAGATACCAGGACATGTCATTTATAAGATGCAGCCACATTTTTGTATTTTTCAGGTTTTCTCTGATCCCCTTGCTCTAAATACTTTCCAAGCCCTGTTCCCTTCAGTGCCAGTTGTCTCGAAACCAGTGCTCAGGCAATGTCAAAGGTAGTATGAACATTTCAAAGGAAGTAAATCAACGTGGCTATTGTCACTGGAAGGAGCCCTGGCAGCACAATGGGTGTGTATTTGACCTCAAACAAAAGTCCATCTGCTTACACCCACCAGTAACTCTGCAGGAGAAAAGCCCTGGCAATCTGCTCCTTTAAAGATTACAGCCTAAGAAACCCTATGAGACATTTTCCCTCTCTCACATGGGGTAGATATGAATTAGACGTCACCCAATATCACACAACAATAACTACATGGCCATAGGCGCTTGGACATGGCAAGGCCTGAGAGGCAGTACCTATAGCTGTAACTGCCGATGTTTGTTGTGTCTTACACTTTTGAACTGAAACAAGGGAAAGCTATTGTATGGTATCTGGTCGGTTTAAAAAATTTTCAAATACGATAATGGCCACATAGAAGACCACCTTCCTACTACCCCCATTGTCTACTCCCTCCTCCATCATGCTTTAGACTCAGGGCTTCAACTGAACTACCGATTGCCAACCTTGGCTGCATATGATGATTGCTTAGGGCATTTAGGATAAACAGAAAAACAAACCAGTGCCCAGGCTTCTTCTAGAATAAACCAAATTAGAACCGCTAAGGGTGAAGTCAGGGGGAAGAGAGTATGAGTTTTTACCTGCTTTGGTTGACTTAGGTAGGTTCATTTGTGGCATCTTCTCCTGTGTACGGACACTGGAAACCAAAATTGGTTGCTTCTTTTCTTTTTCAGGGGCAGCTCCCTTGAATAAGACAAAGAAAACAGAAATGTTAAGTCTTGATATAAAAGGAGAAAGTCACTTCTTCAGAGGACGGAGGACAGGGTGTAAGATCTGCTCACAGTACTATGGATTGAACAGTGGTTAAAGAGATAAATGATAGATGATTGCTGAATGAATGAATGAATAGATGTATGTATTTATGGGTGGGTGGATAGATAATAGATACATAGATAAATAGATAGATAGATAACAAAACAGTACTGAGAGTCCCATTGGTTTGGAATTGAGGCTCACAACCCTGAAAGCCCTAAGGAGCAATTCTACTCTGCATATGTGGGGTCGCCATGGGCCAGAATCAACTCAAGGGCAACTGACAACCACTATCTTGCTTCTCAACTAATTTAACAGAACTCTTCCCTGGATAGGATTTGGTTTCCAAAATTTACCCATTTACATCCCTTTTCAAAAACTTTCTAAGAATATAAAGCACAACTTTGCCCCCAGAGATATCTCCTGACTTGATTACTGCACAAAGAGATGGGGTTGTATGCCTGAGAGTGTTTCCAATGGAAGCTTAAGCAATGATCCCAGCAAGCTTTTCAAGTGTCTTCCAGGGCTGCCCGAGATCTTACCCCATCTCGAGGCTCCTTAGTCTCTGCCTTGGCTCCAGGTCCCTTCTTGGTAATTGGTTCTTTTACAGTACCGTAGGTCTGGGTACATCTCTGCCTCTCCTTCACCAGGGTTAGCCAAGCTGGCTCTGCAGTGGTAGAATCAGACGGACGACGCGGAGCCTTTGCTGAGAAAGGAATGAACAGAGTTAGAACTGTAGCAAGGAAGGCAGGGGCCTAAGCCTGTCCATAATGATGTCCTAAATGAGATCCTTGTTATTTACCAAATGAAAAGCATATCAAGTAGAGAAGGGCCTCCTTGTCTTTTCCTCCTCTCTCCCACCCAGCCCCAAAGGTATCCTTGAGTCGGAATGCCCTGAGCATCCTGTCTCCTTACCCTTTCCTTTCCTTGTCCATCCTTTTCCTTACCCCTGCCCTGGAGCTTCGCTGATTACGAGTTGGGCTGCTAATCCAACAAAACCAGGGGATTGAACCCATCGGCGACTCCACAGAAGAAAGACCTGGAAATCTGCGTTCATCCCGATGCTAGTCTTGGAAACCCCATGGGACAGCTATATCTTACAGGGTCACCATCGACTCGATGGCAATGGAAAAATCAGGACAGGACGGTGGTTGCTGGGGAAATTTCTTGGAGGCCAGAGGCTCAGGTCATTGATCTCATTCCTCTAGTCTCAAGGGGCAAAAGAACCCCATAGTTCAGTGGTTCTCAACCTTCCTAATGCCATTTCATACAGTTCCTCATGTTGGGGTGACCCCCCCCAACCATAAAATTATTTTCATTGCTACTTCATTGTATTATTGCTACTGCTATGAATCGGGCGACCTCTGTGAAAGAGTCGTTCGCTCCCCAAGGGGTCGCGACCCACAGGTTGAGAACCGCTGCCATAGTGCTTCTTACTTTGTAGTCCCTTATGCACGTGTGTGTAGGCATGGAAGTGTTCACATGTACAAAGATGTGACTGTTGAGTAGAAGATTAATGCTTCAAAAGTCACCCAGAGGTAGATTCTCACACATTTCTCTTGAGTGAAGAGGCTATAGAAACTTTTCCATTGAATTAAGATTACCAGATGAGAAATGCATTAAATGGGAGGAAGAGATGATCTCTTTAAATATTAGTGCTGGCAAAACTGGAGATCGATTTGTAGGGAAAAAAGGAAGCAAGATTCATATTCCACACCATATATAAAAATGAACTCAAGATGGATCAAAGACTTGAACGTAAAAGGTAAATTTGGAAAAATCACCCCTGAAAAAATTAGGGGAAAACTCAGGGGCCCTAACACATGGCATAAATACACTATGAAACATAACTGAAGCTGGAATTAGATGGTGCTGGACTACCACCATGAACTGCTTTGAAAGGGATCACATTAAGAGGTCTTGGATACTGTGTGAGAAAACTAATCATTTAACAACAACCAAAAAAAGACCAGGCTTACTAGTAAGATAAAGACTGGTGGAACCCTTGTGACTATGGGATTCCACCATCCTTCAGATGTGGAACAGAACTGACTCCTATGGCTAATTTTTCAGCTAAAAATAGACAGTCCTATAAGGTGAACAGTAATACCAGGCAGGTACATCTCTCTTCAAATAACCAACCACTTCGAGTCAAAGGGCAGTATTGACCCAAATGTCAAGTTCAGAAGGGTTAGCAATGGAGGAAGAAAGGAACCAGGAAACGCAGGGAAGATGTGGCATAAGTGATGGAACACTGGGACTGCGATCAATGAAATGAAACAGAAGGTGTATGGATTGTTGATTAGCAAACTGCAGTTCTTCCCTCAATAAAAAATCTCTCACACAATAAAAAATGAAAAGAACAAAGATTTCCGGTTGTGAGTTTGAACATAGTCTTCTACTAATGGGTTCTTTTGTTTTTTAAATCCACACGGTAATGAGAGTGGAGGGTGGGCATAATATATGTCAGAGTAGTTTGAGAAACGCAAAAGGTTCCATCCAAATGGAAGGTGTTGAGATGAGATGATCATGTGTGCGACCCACAGTGTGGCTCGATATTGGGAAACGGGAAGAGTCAAAATTAACCACCTCCAAATCTATTCATCTGGAATGGGGCACTACCTAGCCCCACCCCAATCCACAAGACATCCTCATTAAAATTAGCAACTCAGTAGACCAAGTTAGAACTGGCTACCCCCACCCCTAATCAAGACTTTGCTCTCCAGTTATTCCCTCCATGTGGCACCTACTTGCCTGCTGGGAAGCTAAAGTCTCACCTGCGATCTTGTAAGTCGGTTGCTGCTTGGTTACACCTTCAGCTCGTAATCCCATCTGTTGCTTCCTCTCAAAGCCAAATGTTTTGGCGAGATTCTCTGTAGCACTCAGGTTCCACTGTGAAATGGCTCTTCGGACTGGCTGTTCTTTCACGATGGCAGCTAAAGCTGGATCCAAGTGGATTGTCTGAAGATCTGGACAGCTGCCTTGTTTCTTCTCATCCCTGTACTTCTGTGAGAAAGGGACTCTTCTGAGCTTCACCCCAAAAATATTTTCAACTTTATCTTCAGTGGTAGGTGAGCTTGCAAGCTTATTATCCTTCGTATCCTCTTTGTTAAGAATTTCTCTCTGAAAGGAAAGACTGCTCGGAATGATTTTCTTCGGAGGCTGCACATTGGCGAATTTCACCATTTTGGAGGGGGTGTGCTTAGTGAGGTCTTCGGAGCCTTGGATGGGTTTCTTGGGTTTGTTGGAAGAATCCGGGGCTCTTGGTAAGAAGCTGCTGCCGGCATCACTCTCAGCGACATCTCTCTCAGTGGTGGCATTCGTGGGACGAGAAGGAACCTGTGGCTGTTCTTCAGGGTCCCCAATGCTTTGGACATGGGATCTGGGTGGCAGTTGCTTTTCTGAGCTGCTCTGCTCCACAGGTGGCCCCGCTGAGACACTCTGTGGCTGGGCACCGTTGGCTTGGAAGGAGCGCCTGGAAGCCAGCTGCTCTTCGAAGATTCTCCACTTCTCTGCAACCAAGAAATCCTCCTGGTGCTCTTCCGGTTTCTCCAACGACTGCAAGGGACCCACTGTGGGCTTCGGCTTCATAGAAACGCCTTCCTCAAGGCCAGCACCCTCGGAGGGCTCAACTTTAGGCTGCAACGGAGCTTTGGGAGAAGGCTTTGGAGGCAGAGGATTCACATACATGATCCCCCCGACAGCAGGGCTCTCAGGATTGGAAAAGATTTGTTCTGCCATGAACTTCACATATGACTTGGACGGGCGCATCGGTGGCAGCAGCTTCTTCGGAATGGCTCCTTCGGCAGCAGAGCTCTCTAGCTTGGCGGTTTCCTGGACAGATGAGTCCATTAACAACTCAGTAGGATACCTGGGGGGCAGTGGCTTCCCGGAATGACCTTCCTCCACAGCAGCACTCTCCAAGTCGGACGACACGTGCTGGACATTAGCGCTTCCAACGGCCAGAGGCTGTTTGGGAGTTGGTGGCTCCATCAACATGGCTCCCTCAAAAGCAGGGCCCTCTGAACCACCGGCGACGTACTGCTCAAATTCAGGGCTTCCCCATGGCTGGAACGGGTCTTGGGGATCCACTGGCTCCACAGAACCACCCCATGTGGCTGAAGCACTCATCGGATCGGCGACGACCTCTTCAGAAGGGGGTCTGTAGGGGACAGACTCCTGAGAAACATCTTCTTCAAAGGCAGCACCCTTGGGCCCGGTGACGACAGAGACTTGTGGCTCAGATGTAGGCACTGGCCGTGACTGCACAGGGCCTCTGGGACCTGGGGGCATTATCTGTGGCTGGACTTCAGGCCTCATCAGGGGCTGGGGACGGCTCTCTGGAGGCAGCAGCTCTCTGAGCGTACCCTCCTTAATGGTAGTGCTCTCGGAGATTTGCTTCACCCTGGGATTGCCCAAGGGCTGGGCTGGATATTTGGGGCCGCTTTTGGAAGGCAGCTGCTCCCTGGAGAAGGGCCCTTTCGCAACCGTGCTTTCTGGAAACGAAGAGGCTGGTGGCCATGACTGTAGAGTGCGCCTGAGAGGTGGCAGCCCCATAAACATTTTCTCTTCAGGCGCCACATTCTCGGCACCTACGGGCACTTGTGGCTCAACCACTGGTCTAGCCCAGGGCTGCGAAGGATAGTCGGAGGGCTCGGTGGGCATGGAAAGGCTTTCCTCCACAGTGGCAGGTTTGGGGCCTCTGGAGACTTCTGGTTTCATCGGCCCTCTGGGAGGCTTCGGCTCCGGCAGGTCACCGGCGACAGGACTCTGGGCACCTGAGGGGGCTTGCTGCTCAGCTCTCAGCCTTCGCAGATGCCTCTGGTGGGTTCTGGGTGGCAGGGGTGGCAAAGTTATGTCCCGCGCCTCGGCCATGCTCTGGGCACCTGCGTGCATGGATTCCCACTGGTGGTAGGGGTCCCAGGACGATGCTGGCTCCACAGGGTCACTTCCTTCTGTAGGACCTCTCAGGGAACCCGAGGAAACTGGGTGCATCATAACGGGCTGAGAAATGAGCAACTGCTCCGCAGCCACTTTCTGACCCTCGGGAGCCTTCTCTGCCACTGAGACTTGGAGCTTGTCTTTGCGCATTCCCAAGGCCGAGGAATGATGTTGGGAAGACCAGTCTTCTTCATCTCTGCTCCAATCCTTGGCCTGGCGGTCCTTTTCAAGAGAACTAATTGATCCGGTGGAGACTTCTTTGCCCCCCCAATCCTGGGAAGGGTATCTGGGAACCAGCTGCTCCCCGTAAGTGCTTCCTTCTCCCCAAAACCTTTGTGATTTGAGGATGACCTCTTGCCCATCTTCAGGTTTCCCCAGGGGCGGGGAAGAGTGGCCAGCAACCTGCGAAACAGCGCCTACCTCTAGACTACTATCTGTGTCTGAGGAAGAGCCTGATCCATCTTCAGACTTCTCTAGCTCCTCGGATTCCCTCTCCTCCTCAGAAGTGCTCTCTGCATCTGAGCTTTGTTGACTGTGTCCCGGCTTCCACCATGCCTGGGTAAAGCTTTTTGATTTGGGGATTTGAGGAGGCAGCCTCTCGGCAGAAATGCCTCTCTTCTCCCTAGCACTGGCTGTGTCGGCAGCACCTGCTGGCAAGTCCTGGCTTACGTTTCCGGAAGGTGTTTCTTGGAAGATGGTTGGGGTACTCTGGGCCGATTCCATTTTAAACACGGCACTTCGTGAATCAAGGCCATAAATTGCTTCCCATTCTGACTGGGCATAGGAGGGATCCATGAATCCCTGCGCCTCCTCACTCATTGAGGGAATATCTCCGGCGTATGGTGATCTAATACTATCCATGGGCTCTTCTATGTCTTCAGCTATGGATTCTATGAAAGGTCCTTTGGCTTCACCTGCGGCTATGTCTGCCCATGGAGTGGTGGGTTGCTCCCTAAATTGCTTCTCCGAGGCAAAGCACTGGTCAGGGGAATCCTTGCCAGTGTTCTCTGCAAATGGGGACTCAGCTCGATCTCCTAGGCCATGACCTCGACTGGATTTTTTATGGCTTCTTTCTCTGGGTTTGCACTCACTCAGCCCTGTAAGTGTTAACTTCCTTTCACGCTTTCTCCCATGTGATGCTGACGTGGAGCGGCCCTGGCGCCCCACGGTGTCAGTGCCTAAAGCCTTATCCATTGTCTTCCTTTCAGAACTCTCACTCTTCTTGCTCTGTTCCTGGCTTGAGGGACCTGTACCAAAGAGAAATAAGGAAAGGGGGGGAGATGGGTGCTTCATACTTCCTAGAATACCAGTATTTCCCCCTGTCCCAATAGGGCCTTAGTTGCTATGGAAATCCCTGTGAGGAAGTCGCAACTGTCCAGGGCTGGTTCTTCGCCATTTCATCAACAGTTCCAACTACCCCCAGGAGCTCAACACATTGATGAACAATCTTTGAACATGCCACCATGATTACCTTCAAAGAAACTGACTGGAGCCGAGGGGAGGGTCACATTCATGTTTTCTACATAGTATTTATCCAAACAGCTTGAGTTGTCATCTTGTGTGCTTGCATGGCGATATTGTAGTTAATTAATTAATTAATGTAGAAAGGTGCTAACAGGAGCTATTGGGGAGGTACGATTATGGCCCTCTTTTTTCTCTACTCTTTTGTATTTGAAAAATCCTGTGTAATATTAGAAGGCTGTGTGATGGGTTACACATGGCGATTCTAACTGCAAGGTCAGGAGTTTGAATCTATGAGCAGCTAGGTGGGAGAAAGATGGGGCTTTCTATTTATGTGAAGAGTTACAGTCTTGGAAACCCACAGGGGCAGTTCTGTCCTGTCCTGTTGGATTAGCTATGAGTCAGAATTGACTAGATGGCAGTGAGATGGAGTTTTTGTGTGTAACATTATACATACAAAGCAATTCTGGAAAAGCCTTAATAATTCCACCAGTCACAGGCTCTGATCAGGTCAAGCAGAAAACAATTGCTATACAGAGCACTCCTTTCCCTGTCCAATTTGATTGGCAGGTGGGAGGGTCCTTGTCTGCTTTCCTCCTTTTCCAGCTGCTGCAACCCCAACTCCCTCTAGTGGTTTTATAAGCAGCATGCAGCGTCAAACATAGTTACACACCAAACTATTCCCACTAGTTGGAAAATCTAATATCTGTCCCCATGGACATGTCTCTGTTCTATCTCCTGGGTGAAAGGGATAGCCATTACGATAAGTATGAGTAAGATGTAAAGAAGGTAAATGTGATTACTCATTTAATTTCTTTTCATTCTCTCTGTCTATGTGTGTATTTGATTGATTTGTTGGTTTTCGTGGGTGAATGGGCTTAGGGATATCCTGTCTTTGAGCCCACATGTGGAATACTTGGTCAAAAAAACATGAAGTAACTATTCAGCTTAGTTTGTGGAAGTGGAGTTCATTTTTAGCAAGTACTATTTGAAGTTCGCGTTAGATCAGTGGAAGCCAATAGGCTCGCACGTGTGTGTTCACTCTGGTGGCATTTGTTGTTTGCGAATTTGATGCCAAAGACATCTGTCTGCAGCTGCCAGAGCTGTTTTTGCCCACGGATATAGGAACAGGTCTCATGGTTGACAAAGGGACCTTTTCTCTCTGCTGGAAGAACAAAGTGACTTTCCAAGGGGCGTTGGGGGCAACTAAGGGAATCAATGGCTTCTCTCAGATAAATGGGCTTACTGAGGAACTCAGCATGTACACTGGACTCCACATGCACAACACGAGCAGGAGACATCGAGCTTCCAAACAGACAAACCACCTCTATGGAAGGAAGTGCTTTTAAAGCAAAGAGAAATCCACATGACCTTTCCCTACATCCTACAGCGGTGTCAATCACATTTATTGGACAATTCTGATGGAGAAACCTAGACTAATTTAGTAGCTATCTGACATGGAAAGCTCTCTTCACATAGCTGCTGTTACTTAGCACTGGGCAATTGAACTCGCAGTGCATGTTTCTGGGTGAAGGTGAAGATGTGTGCTAACCTGCAGTGTCTCTTTTCAGCTTCTTCAACTGGATTTGTTTCGGCATGGTCGCAGTCTTCTCTTCTTCTGACGACAGGGGAAATCTTGATTCTCCCTGCTGTGGTTTCACCTATAACAGCGAAAGGGAAAGTGTGGAGCAGAATGAAGTGTTCTCCGCCCACCCTGTCATGATCGTCAAAGGGGACTCATCAAAACAACCAACCAGCCAACTGAACAACAAACAAAATCGGTAAAAGTTTCCTGGCTGCTGAAAGGATGATGCTGGGAACAAAACAATACCAATGGAGAGAGTGGCAATACTGGGCGGGTTGGGTGGAAAGGGGAACCGATTACAAGGATCTACATATAACCTTTTCCCTGGGGGACGGACAACAGAAAAGTGGGTGAAGGCAGTGGGTAAGGTATGACAAAATAATAATAATTTATAAATTATCAAGGGTGCATGAGGGAGGGGGGAAATGAGGAGCTGATACCAAGGGCTCAAGCAGCAAGCAAATGTTTTGAGAATGATAATGGCAACAAATGTACAAATGTGCTTGACACACCATGGATGGATGGATGGATGGATTGTGATAAGAGTTGTAAGAGCCCCCAATAAAATGATAGAAAAAAAAGAAAAATAAATATTTTTCCCTGGTGTCTAACCAGAGGTCTCAAGTGATTCTTTTTCCCACTGTGTCTCATCCAGAGTTGGTATTTCTGCTTAGGGGCTAAGCCAGAGTCTGGAGGTTGGAGTCCATCCAGAGGCACCTTGGGAAAAAAGGCCCGGGGATCCATTTTCAAAAAGACAGCCATTGAACGTTCCGTGGTGCACAGTTCTGCCCTGACCCACCTCGGCTTCCCCGCACTTCAGCACCAACTTGGTGGACCCCCTGCGGATGGATGGAAGTGCTTCCATCTATAGCTCTTGTGTTTCATCTCATTAATAGCTAATAATAATTGTAATCTGGGCTGCAATTGAAGATTCTCTATGAAGGGCTAAGTGAATTCCCAGATGCTAAACCAATAAAGAGTTTGGGGGGTTTAGTCTTCGTGGCTGCTTTGCTCAGTCATTTTTTTTCAACAAGTTCCAAATGGATAGGCCACCCCCAACTATTAGATGCAAGATGTCTCACTCCCCAAGGTGTATCTACCCAAGACAGTACCCTGAACTTTACCATCGCTACCTCGGGGCTAGGGGTCCTGGTGTCTCATTGGCTGAGTGAAAGGGGAGCAGTGTGAGCCCACACGGTGGCTCTCCAGAAGGATGGGTCTGGCCATCTGGCCTCATAAAGGTTACTGCCCAGGAAACCCCACAGAGCAGTTCTACTCTTGTCGCATGAGTTCATTATGCATTCACTGCCATCAACTCAATTCAGACTCATGGTGTCCCTATAGGCCAAGGTAGAACTCCTCCCTGTGGGTATCCATGACTGTAAATATGTATGTGAACAGACCGCCTCATCTTTCTCCCACGGAGCAGCTGGTGGTTTTTGAACTGCTGACCTGCGGTTAGCAGCCCAATGCATAACCCACTATACCACCTGTGCTCCCGATCTTCCTCTGTAGGAGCTTCCAAATAGCCTTCTCTGGGCCTCTTGCCACAGGATTTTCCACACCTTAAAGAAATACCCCATAGTTCCATTCCAGAAACTGTCTCAGCAGACACCTCCCTTGGAGGGTCAGGTGATCGGCCCCGTTTGCCAGACACCAGAAGAAAATAATGTGACTTGCAGCAGGTGGGCAGAACTTCCCTTTGTGTTTACCCCCTAGTTCTTCCCAAACAAGCTTTGTTCAGGGTCAGGAAATCCTCAGGTAGCTTTGGAAAACCCAACTCACTGCCATCAAGTCTCTTCTGGTTCATAGTGACCCTAGAGGACAGACTAGAACCGCTCTTTTGGGTTTCCAAGACTGTAAGGCTTGTTATTTATTTATTATTTTAAAATCATTTTATTGGGGGCCCGTACAACTCTTATCACAATCCATACATATATCCATTGTGTGTCAAGCACATTTGTACATCTGTTACCATCATCATTCTCAAAACATTTGCTTTCTACTTGAGCCCTTAGTATCAGCTTCTCATTTTCCCCTCCCTCATGAGCCCTTGATAATTTATAAGTGATTATTATTTTGTCATATCTTACACTGTTCCACGTCTCCCTTCACCCACTTTTCTGTTGTCCATCCCCCAGGGAGGAGGTTATATGTAGATCCTTGTAATCGTTCCCCTTTTTTACCCCACCTTCCCTCCACCCTCCCGGTAGACTGTAAGTCTTTACAGGACCAGAAAGCCTCATCTTTCTCCCATGGAATGGCTGGTGGGTTCAAACTGAAGACATTGGAGTTAGCAGTCAAATGCTCAACCTATTACGCCACCAAGGCTCCCTTATTCCAACTCATAGTGACCCTATATTGGAGATCCGAGACTATTAATGTTTCCATGAGCAGATAGCATTATCGTTCTGAGGGTGGGTTTGAACCACTGGTTTTATGTTAGCAGGCCAATGGTTATCGCATACTGCCACTAGGGTTCTTTAGCATAACAAAAGGAAAAAGACCACTCTATTTCACAAGAGAGTGATATTTCCATATATATATACACATATATGATCTGCTAAGAACAAAATAAAGTTCTGCTCTGTTGGCCAATAATCGTCAATATAAATCATTCAAATCTCTCTCTCTTTTGCTTACTTTTCAGCTCCCAAGCTTAAACTCTACTTCACTCTAAAAGCTCCTATCATGCAAACAGAAAACAGCCTCTCAGACAAAAATATATAGTAGCGTGCAGATGTCCTAAGTGTTGCAGAAAGAATAAAGAATGCTGTTTTTACAGGGAAGCCTTGCAGCGACAAATTCCTAAATTTCATGAAACCAAGCCTGATCAGTTGGTACAGGAGGTAGCACATAGCTGTTTAGGTTTGTTAACCGAATAGTACCTGTCCAAGGCAGCCTGCGGACGAGATGCTTCCTAAGTTAGAACTTTGGGTTTATAGAATGGAGTGAACAATGTAAATCACCATGAATATCAAAACCCAAGAACGGCAGCTCCTTTCTCAAACAGCCCCCCCACTCTTCGGCTAGACCTGGAGGAATGGGCTCAAGAAACTACGCCTTTGACATGTGGTCTCCAACAGGTCTCTTCAGCTGGGGCTCCTTCTTACCTTCTTTGCCTTCAAGCTCTTTGGGGATGTACTCTTCATTTGTGGGTCCATGAGAATGTCATCGTCCATGGAGATGAGATCCAAGTCCTTATAGATTGAGCCATGTCGAATCAGAGGTGGGGTGATGCTTAGTTGGTGATGCTGAATTGGTAGCATCTGTTCCCCGGAAAAGAAGAAAAAATTAAGACTTGTGTCATTTCCCTAAGTCACTGGTGTTCTCTTGTTGCTTAATGACTGGAAAATAAAAAATCTTGCCCTAGTATTACCTCTCCCCTCAGAGGAAAAAAAAAAAAAAGCCCAGGAAAGACTATCTTACGTTCTATGTCTTCACTTTGAGGTTGCTGCATACTCTGGCCAATCACCAAACACAAACTGCCTTGCTTTGAAACCTGATTCCCTGTGTGATCTTTCTACTATCGCTAACTACTAAAGTACAAGTCAATTCCAACGTACAGCAACTTTATAGGACAGAATGGACCTCTTCCCTAGGGTTCTGAGGCTCTAAATCTTCATGGAAGCAGGTTACCTCATGGCCCTGCCATGGAACGACTGGCTGGTTCAATCAACCCTTTCAGTTAGCAGGCCCGTGTTGAACCTAATGCGCCACCAGTATGGCCTCATGCTCTCTGCACTTCTTGTTTTATTCTGGTCTTGCTACTTAGGGTCTGATTCTCATGAAGGTCAGTTTTAGGGTTATGATCCCAACTGTAATCCTTGCTCCTAGTCTAGGGATTGTCTAGATTGAATCTTGACTGTGTCTGGCTGCGTATTTTAAATCCTGGGAAAGTTTGCTGATATCGCCAGAAAAAAAATCGAATGAACTAGTTAGAAATGCGTTCGTTTTTCTAAGGACGTAAGAATTGATCATTTGGGTTTTCCTTGAGGGTCCTCAGACTAATTTCGCTGATTTCAGTTTGAAGCTCATGGGACACTTAAAGTCCAGGCCCTGGTCCTTGCTATGGTCCTCCTGATGTGGACCAGGGTCTCTGATTTTATCTTGTACAAATATGGGTTCAGCATCTACAAGGGCCACAGGTGCCATGCCCCAGGCCTCCAACAACAATCCAAACACAGTCCATGAGGAAGGCATGCTGGCTCCTGCCTTAAACCCAAATCCTTCTCAGAACAGAAGACCTTTAGAGTCTACAGCCCAAGATATTACACACACACACACACACACACACACACACACACACGCACACACACACACACACACACACAGGGTTGTTCAACATTTATAACAGCTCTGTGGGGGAAGAACTCAGTGAGCAGCCGGGCCAAGTTCTTCCTTTGTCCTTCTGTCCAGGTGGGGGTAAGGATGACCAGCTGCTCAAGGCCATGGGTACCTGCAGAGTATTCCCTCGATGATGCTCTGGTGGGGAGTTCCTTCTACTGGCAGATCGTTCACGTTCAGGCTCCAACATAAAGATGCTGTCGTGAGATAGGGCCTTGGTCCCCATGTTGCTCTTGTACCTGCACAGAAAGCTAAGCTCTTATAAAAGCAGGTGAAGGGTCATAGGAACTAAAGGCACCTTGGCATAAGACACCTCAGAAAGATGTCAGGGATGCATATTTGTTGATACGGAAGAATACACATGACACTGACGTGAAAGAGAGAAGAATAGCATGGTCTCATTTTATAAATATATACACATATTACTCATATAAATGTTTGTGTTCATATATAAAGTATGAAAGGATATGCAACAAAATTGTTAGTGGTTACCTCTGCGCAGTGATACTAGCTACAGGAGAGAGATTTTTTAAAAATTTATTAAATCATTTTATTGCGGGTTCATAGAACTCTTATCACAATCCATACATCCATCCATTGTGTCAAGCTGGGGAGCAAGTGGGGGGAGAAAGCAAGAGAGGGAGGGGGAGAAAGGAGGGAGGCAGAGAAGGAGCACAGAAAGTCAGTGAGAGGGGGTGGAGAGAGGGGGTAGAGAGGGAGGGAGAGAGGGATTATAAGAGGGGGAAGAGGGGGAGAGAGAGGAGGCAGAGAGGGGAGAGGGGTGTAGAAATAGGGAGAGAGGGGAGTAGAGAGAGGGGGAGAGATGGAGGGAGAAAGGGAAAGGGGGTAGAGAGAAGGGAGAGGGAGACAGGGTAGGAGGGGATAGGAGGGGGGAAGAGGGAGGGGGAGGGAGAGAGGAGGATTGAGCAAGAGAGGGAGGGAAATACAAAGGGGAGGGGCGGAGCGAGAGAGGGAGGGAAATATAGAGGGGCGGAACTAGAGAGGGAGGGAAATGAAGAGGGGCGGAGTTAGAGGGGGAGGGAATATGGAGGGGCGGAGCAAGAGAGGGAGGGAAATACAGAGGGGCGGAGTTAGAGGGGGAGGGAATATGGAGGGGCGGAGCAAGAGAGGAAGAAGGAGAGAGAAGGGCGGATCTAGGGAAGAAGGCAGGGCAGGAAGGAGGGCTTGAACGAGAGAAGCTACTGCTGGAGAGATGTAACCATGGAGGGGATGAGAGGGAGGAAGAGGGGAGGGAGAGTGCAAAAGCGGGAAGGAAAAGGGGAGGGAGGGAGAGATGGAGGG